TGTGTGTGTGCGTGTCCTGAACGCGCGCCCAGGAGCCCAAAAGACACCGAAAACCCGCCCCGTGCAGTTGTAGAAACAAGGGCAATCAACAGCCAAAAGCAGCGGCTCACGAGGTAGGCGTCTGTCTCCAGCTTTGCGATGCGCTGCACCAGGTCCTTGGGCAGTGCAGTGGCCTTGACGTAGGTCTTATCTGTGTCGCGCACCACAGCCGCCTGCACCGGGCTCAGGGAAGGCGCCTGCGCGCGGGTGGAAGTCAAGGGGACACTCAAACGTGACGGGGCTGCTGTGGGCACGGGTCGAGAGCGCGCGAACGACGTGCCTCTGAATCAATCAAATCGTGGCGTGCTTTCCGAAGCGAACAAGGGCTCCACTTGATGAGACAATATCTAACAGGATGTCGAGATCTGAGGCGGGCCCACCTGCTTCTTCAGTTCCTCCAGCAGCGCCCCGACCTCCTTGTCCGTCTTCTTGTCGTAGATCACGCCCGCCAGCGCCGACTTCTGCGCGCCGCGCGACTCGGCCGCGCCGGGCGGCATCATCACCTGGCGGCGATGACACGCGGTTGTGCGGGGGATCAGGGGCCGGAGAATGTGGATGATCGATCGAGTGTGTGCCGCTGCCACACAACAGCTGCAATCCCCGGTGTACGCTCAGCTGAGCACCAAAAACGGAGAGCTGCTGGGGGCGCAGCCAAGGCTGCGCCACGTCAACAGGCTGGCCAGCGCTTGAGGCCGTGGCAGGGTCAAGGCCCAACGGCACGCCACTGCCTCAAGCACGCCGCTGTTGCGAGCTGCGCTCTCCAACCCCAGCTTGCGCTTAGCCGTCTGTACTGCCCCCCCCCCCCCCCACCATCTCATCCCAGCCGAGCAGTCCGCTGATGCCCTCGAGAGCATTAAGCTCCCGCAGTTTCCCGCACAGCTTCTCATAAGCCTGGTGGTGGGGTCGATTCAAGGGTGGAAGTGGGGTGGGGCAGGGGCGGGGCAGGGCGTTGGTCAAGGCTGGAAAGAGGGGGGGCATGCGGGCGAGAGGTGGGACGTGCAGATGCGAGGTGTCAGGGGTGATGTTCTGGGGGACGTCTGGTGTGTGTGTGTGAGGTGCGGCACAACAGTCCTTCCTCAATCGCCCATGGCGGCGGTGGCGTCACGCACTTGAGAGAGGCCGAGCGTGCCGCCACCGCCGCCGGCGCTCAGTGGGTGGCCATCGCCCGGGCTGCACACGCCGTCGCCCACATTGCTGGCGCACTGCTGCGCCCGCACCAGCGGCGTAGTGGCTGCAGCTAGCGTAACAATTAGAACAGCGCGACACAGCGCGGGCAGCGACGGGAAGGGAGCCCCTACGCCAGTCGCTGCTCGTGCTGCGTGTGGTGGCGCTCCGCGCCGCACCTGCTGTGTTGCAACAGGCGCCTCGGTTGCGGTCGCCATTGCCACTCGGATGCGACTGACAATCACACGTCTGTTGTGCGCCTTGAGGATCGGGCGGGCTCCTAGCCTGCCAGCGAGCATGGCAGATGGTGATCTTGCGTGACCAACCGCAGCAGCGCTATCAATGATTCAGCACAAGAAACGGAGTGCTAAAAGCGTGCCACGACAATTGCCCTGGCGCCGTGTCGCCCATCGCCTCTGAGCTACGGCGCCTCTGGCGAGCTGCAATCATGAAGGGTTGAAGGCAGCGTGCTGTGGTGCCTGCTGTGTCTGGTGGGTAAGACGACCTCACAAACTCGATCTGGTACATGTGCAAAAATTCTTTGATGATTGTCCGGTTGGGAGGCGCCGCAACAGCCAGCACGGGGCGAGGTGCAAGGGACGCAACGTGAGTGGACCGAGGTCAAAGCACAGCGTAGAGCGATTGGCTTGTCCAGGCTGAAGTGCGCACACGCGCACATGCAAATCTGTGCCAGCACACATGCCCAGCACGCACGCATGCACGCACACATGCCTGCGTGCACACACACACACATACACACACACACCCACACACACACACACACACACACGCGGGCTAGGTTCCATATGCGTGGGTCTGGGCCCACGCGCGCGGAGCGCGCGTGGGCTTGAAAAGGAAAGGAAAGGGGGAGAAAAAATGATTGCGGGCGCCGCAGGCGCCCGCAGGGCGTTCAGGCCGTACTGCTGGGCACCGAAGGTGCCCAGCGGTTGTGCTAGAGTTGTGACCATGCAAGTAGGTACCTGGTTGGCACCTGCCTGCTTTTTCAGTTGTTTTTGTGCAAATAGTATGGGTTGCTTGGCATCAGCTTAACGGGGATGAGGGTATCACGGCACTGGGGGTTAA